GAATTGTAATACCCTTTCCAAATATTTTATTTATTCCAAGTTCTCCACGTGCAGTGGCAGCCCCAGTTGCCAATACAGGAACAGCTTTTGAAATTCCTTTCATTGCATATGGTAGTACTCTTGCTCCAAGAGACGCGAGTGAAGTAAATAAGTTTCCACCATGTTTTACAGATTTTGTAATCTGAGTTTTACTTATTTTTATATCTGATCCTGTGCCATTTGTAATAGATTTTTTTATTTTAGCAATTTGTCTTTTTGTCAGCATTAACTCATCAGAACCTCGAAGATGAGAATGTTTTAACCGAAGAGTTAGTGGTGATTTATTTATTATTGCAGAAGCCAGTTTTGACTTTTGTCCATCTGTAAGTTTTACATCATATTTAATATAAGTTGTCATTTATTTATAGAATTATATTAAATAGGGGGGTTGCACCCCCCTAAGACCCCCTGCAATATTAAGGGAGGGGTATTCTTATTAAGGGAGGAGTAATAGGGGAGGCGTAAGCACCGTAGGTTCCCCTATGCTCGAAGCAATAGTTTTCCATCTTGTTGTGATATTTCTGCTACTCTTTCATGTAAGATTAATGCGTAAAAATTATAATCAGCGTTTGGATTAGCAGTTAATTCGTAATAACCCCGTCTTTGATATCCATTTTTTGTTTTGTTAGGTCAAAATAAACAAAAATAAAAAAAAAAGTTTCAAAATTACTTCTATTAAGTAATGTCCCACCTTGAAAATCATTATTTGCATAAACATATGACATTACATTTCTAAAAACTCTTGACATATCAGTAGAAGGTTTAAAGTGAATATCTGGGTATTCGTTTCCATTTGCAACTTCTAGGTAACATCTTGATATTTTAGCATTATTTGGCAGATCAAAAGTGTCGTACAAAAATGGATTTGCTGTTTGTGCGTCAATTCTTGCTGTATTAATTCCAAAAACAAATACATGACGTGGTTTTGAAATAGCATTTGTAATTCTAAAATGTCCAGTCTGTTGCTGAGTATTATTTGACCTTTCTATTTCTTCATTCAAATATGACCATTTGTAAGGTTTAAGATAATTTTTCATATACAACTTTTGTCCTTCTGAATTAAAAGTAAGTCTTGGAACAAAAAGTTGTAGTCTTGTTACAATAACTCTACAATCATCAGCACCTTGAAAAATTAAATTTGCATCTTTTTCAATTTCAATATTTAGATCAATTTTTGTATTTGGAAGTAATTTATCTTCCAATGCTTCAAAGAAAGAATATCTATTAAGAGGAATTTGACAGTTTACTGTGGCTGATACACCTAATAGTAATTTTCTTGTTGCTTGAGCAGGTCTTTCCTCTGCAGCTCTTGATGTATCAAGAAAATAAAATTCGTTTGTAGCAACACTCTGAGCATATGAAGGATTATACTCAAGCAAATTTTTAATATTTACAACATGATTTGCAACTATAAACTGCAATTACAACTATAAACTTCTCTTCCATTTGCTTGGATACTTAATTTTTGTATAAAGGAGTTACTACCATTTACAATTCCATTATGGTAAGCAACTGCAATATTTCCTCCATCTGCCAGCTTATTCACTTTAAAATCCATTGATAATCGTGCGTTATACCAATCAAAAGGAGTAGTTTCTCCTGTATTATCAGCAACAAATCTAAGACCTGTTTTATTTTGGTGCGCGTTATTTGCTGTGGCTGTAACTAGAGCCTTTTCCAGGTCATAAACAACATCCTCATATCTTTCTAAATATTTTGGATTTCTAAAGGACTTCATTTTATTTTAATAATTATATAATTTTTCTCTTACGTGTTGAACCACCACTAAGAATGGTATTCACTCTTTGATTTATCTCTTGTTGAGTCATTGTTTCTGGAACTGGTTTAAAAGTAACTTTTTTTAGCGGGTGTTGTAACCTTTCTTTCGATGACATTTGCACTATCTTATCACCAGCCTTTTTACCAACATGTTCACCAGTTTTTGTTGCAGCTGCTATTACCGCTTTTTTAGCTCCTTTTTTTCCAGCTGATTTGACTGTTTTTCCATATAATTTTGAACCAAACGATTTAAACACATCCATCATTCCTTCTCCATAAACGTGTTGTCTTGTATATCTCCCCAATTCAGGGTCAAGTTTTTTTTAAAACTCTGATTGTCGCATCATTTTATTTTAATAGTTATACAAATTAGGGGGTTGCAGCCCCTAAGACCCCTTGCAATATTTTTATTAAGGGAGGGGGTTATAGGGGGAACCGTAGGTTCCCCTATTTACATTGAATGGAGTATTAAAGTCATAAACCAATCAATACCATTAACATTTACTGGTCTTCCAAGTGAGTCTGTCACATAGATTCTCATTTCATCAAAGTGAAATGTAGAGACAGGACAATATAATGGTCTTTTAGGCTCAAACGTAAATGGAAAAGACCTTGTAAGATTATCTGTTGGAACCACAGCAATGGTATTTGTATTTATTCCATTTACAATGCTATTAGTTATTGCGCTGGTGTTGATATTTAAAACATCCGGCAGGTACAAAACGTAGGTCACAGGTCACAGGTCAGGTCACAGGGCACAGGGCACAGGTCACAGGGCACAGGTTACAGGGCACAGGGCACAGGGCACAGGGCACAGGTCATAGGGCACAGAAAACGCAGTAAAAACAGTTAAGACACTCCATTAGGCTTTTTTGTTTTATTTCCGGTTACGCCACAATCAGGCATATGCTTGCCATCGACCATGCTTTCCGGTTTTGTACTGAGGGTTGAACAAGTAAATGGCTAAAGTTACACATTGTATTGGAACTTGAGGAGTTCCTTCTCTGGAGATCTCGAAACGAGGCTTTTTCGTCGCTCCACGCGAGCGGACTTGGAACGAGGCTCTGAGAGGAGAATGGAACGGAAAATAGCCTCGTCTGTGCAGAAAGCAACATGGCGGAAGACCAGAGTTTCGAGGTAAGAAAACAGCACTTGCTGAAAAGTTATTTTGGCCTCAGTTCCACTGAAGAACTGAAAAATAACTTAGTGAATTATCAACACACGTCTACTTCGCTAACTATCGACTGTGCTGCAATCGTGAATTGCCGATTTCGGTTTGTTGCTGCGTACATTGATGTTTAAGACTTAAGTTGTCATTAAGTTGAGCAATGGAAACATGGGATGATTCTAGCCGTAGTTACGAAATAGTGACACCTTTTAGACCAAGACCGTTTGCATAATTTGAAAGTTTTTTATATAACTATAATCTTCAAAACCTAACGTACTTGTTCGGTATCGCTGTTAGCAGTCCATGCATCAGGACCGAGCTTTGTTCCATTTTATCACGCGAATGAAAGAAGATGTATAGGATATGCAATGTGGCTTTGATCATTTCTGTTTTCATTACTTTTTTTTTAATTCTACAGGAAACAGATTACAAAGAAGCCGAGCTCGCCTCACAAGGATCTTCTTGGAGATTTCCCTCATCTTTGCTGGGATATACTTTGGTAGGTTTTCATTTAGCTTTTTAAGCTTGCTATCGAAAATAAACGGCTTTGCATGTGGCCAATGTATCTCCTTGGGTGTGTGAAGTTTTATTGCTTTGGAAACCAAGATTAAGAAAAGCAGCACCCCGTCCCATACGAGTTATGTATTTGTTGTCTTTACGCATGAGGGAAGAGATTCAGGAAAAAAGCATAATTCACAACAAGTAAAGAAATTGATATTCTTAAATCATCTTAAATCTTCTTGCATTGTATGGTTGACTATCAACGTATTTTTAACAAATTGCTAAAGATACACTTGAAAATACACCTTATTTGGTTGTGTCCGACATAACCTGCAACATCTGTAACTTCCATGAAAATAAACTCCTTGTATGAGGGTTGGGGTAGAAGCCAAATTTGAACATTCTTTTACAGAATTAAGGACGCTAAGCAAACTAGAACGACATAAATGTGAACATCATTGCAAATCCAAAGGTTTCATGACTAAAACAACTTTCGCGAGCGTTTTGAAACTGTGTAAATTTGTTACAGATATAGACGATAATTTTTTTCATCGACGTTTTGTTTAACGTAGTCCTCGTGATTGATTACGGTCCCTAATATGTGGCATAGGTGACCCCCTTTACATTTTAGCATTTGGTCATTATCATAATATCAACAGTTCTAACAAAACTCTCGACGGACACTTCTATACCAAAACACCAAATTCCCGAGATAGATGGCGCTTATGAACTTCGCTCATCTGTTCACTGATAGGCTCGGTGATTGTTATATTCCTTGGTAGGATCTTGTCACACTTTGCCAGCACACACGTTTTTCTGACATGGTAATACACACTTTCTGGATCCCGGCTGACATGAAGTGAGATTTTCATAAACCATAAATCTTGTGTAATTGTCTATTCGCTTTAAATGTACTGTAAGAGTAACTCTTTCATTGCAACATTATTAAAAAGCCTGACTCACTGGTATTTACTAAGTGGCACATCATTTTATCGTTGATGTGACAGGGTACCAACCTTAAGCTGAATCGTTCCCTTCTTCTGATAGACCCTTCTTTCGCGATGCTTGAGCATCAAATCGTATGGTGCAGGAGGTGGTGCATCACTAGGCTTGTTTCTTAACTGCAAGACAATGTATATTAGAGATTATTAATTCTTCTACTCCCATACCGGCATACTGAGCCTGTGATTAAAACGTTAACTGTTTAAATAAAAGTCGTTTTAATTTTTAAGTATCTGTTAAAATCGTCTCCATATACTTCTAAGTCGTAATTGCAATTACCTTTGATCCACAGCCATAGCAAGTCAACGCCTTAGTGTCCTTTACAAAGACAACCTGATACTCGTCAGGTGGAATGGTTGGCGTCACTCATGGAAATGTCTCAGAAAATCCCGCGGTGGATCGTTCCTCTCTGTGCGTTTTTCTGGTTCTTTTCCTGCCTTTTTCGTTTTCTTTAAGGCCTGCTCCACTTGGCATACTCTCCTGTAGTTGGCGAGTGATGTTTGGTGTCTAATCAGAAAGTACTCGTTGTAAGGAGCCCATCTGGAAGGATACTGCAAGTACATGTGAGCAGAGACCCTTGTGCTTGAACCCTTCGCAATCACAGACTGGCAATTTCC